GTTATCTCAGATTCTCCAGCATCTGCAGTTCCTACTATCTCTATCTCCATTGTAAGTCTGCAGTCTTCCTTTTAATGGAGTCAGGAGGACAGGAATGCTATTGTTTTTCTCATTGCCACCAGCTCCCTTCCCAGCCCTTCAAACCCCACATCCCCCCCCCCCCCCCCCCCACTCATCGCAGCCTGCCATACAAGCAGAGGTTGTACAGTCTTTTCCCCTTGGCAGCCTCTCTGTGCCACCCTTGTGCCGGGAACAGCAAGGGCGGTGTCAGTGAAATGAAACACATTTTGGCCACATCATTATAGCCTCCTGTTTTCACCGGCAGGAGGGAACAAATTCTTGCTGAGAAATCTGTTGCTGGCTTTGAATTCCAGTGTTAAGCGTGTAACTGTACAAAATGCCACACCAGCATTGTACTGGCCTCTCTCCTTTTTGTCAATATGATTCCAAAGAAATCTGATGTCCCACATTCAAGCTGTGCATTATGTCGAGAGAACTGATTCGAACCCAGTGCAGGCTGCAAGAAAGCAAGAATTTACTTCTACATAGCACCTTTTCATGACCTCTGGACATTCCAAGATCCCTTTTGGCCACTGAAGAATTTTTGAAGTGTGACTATGTGAATATAGGAAATGCAGCTGCCAATTTGAGCACAGCGAGATCCGACAAATAGTGAAAACGGACAGATGATCACAGGATCAATATCAAGTCAGACATGAGAAGTTCCTTTTGCATCATTCTTTTTCTGAAAAAGATAGCCATGGAAACTTTTATACCTGCCTAAAGGGTCATATCTATTGAGACATTGCTACCTCCAACACTACAGCACTCTGTCTGTCCTGCTGCTTGGAGTCACACTAGATTTAAGGCCAAAGCCTCTGGATAGGACCTGAATTTACAAACCCATGATTGAGAGGCAAGTGTGCTACCAACTGAACTAATGTCTTTCTGTGACCTCTGTCTAAAGGTTCAAATCCATTCTATGTTGATGCCATTGCTAGAGCAGCAAAGGGACATTAAATGATTGCACTAAAGGTTCATTGCTAATATTGTCAATATTTGCAATGATATTACGGAATGTAGATTCACTGGAAATAATATGAGCTGAATTTATTATTAAATTATGATAGGATGCACAGATTCATTGTCCCTTATATTCAGAAGTGATCTAGTTGAAGTATTTCAAATGGGAGGGTGGAATTGGGGCAGGGATCAAAAGAAAACCTTAAAAATCCTCTTGATATATTTTGCTTTGGAAATACTACTAAAATATTGGGGTGCGAAGCAGGGTAAATGAGGTTAAGGTGCCAATCAGTCACGATGTAATTGAAGAATGAAACAAGCTAAAGAGTCAGAGTCATACAACAGAGATGAGGCCCTTCAGTCTGTGCTGACCTATGTGCATTAATCCCACTTCCCTGCATTTAGCCCATAGTCTTGAATATTATGGCATTTCAAGGGCCAAGTGCTGCAAAGTGGATTAGGCTAAAATGTGTCTGTGGGAAAACTCAATGGGCTGAAGGGTCTTGTCTCTGCTGTATGACTCTGACTCTTTAGCCTGTTCCATCATTCAATTATATTGTGACTGATTTATCCACTTAGGAACCCAACATTAAAGGGGAATGAATGTTCCTACACCATAGGTTTTCCTGAAGATCTCTTATTCTGATTAGTCCGGTGCTACCCGAGTAGAGCACTTTCAATGATTTGGCTGATTTAACGAGAGATACCAAATTACTTCTTTGCCTTTTGTCCTTTGCTTTTGTTGTGATACTTTGGAGAGGGAGAAAGAGAATTCCATAATTAATTCTTGTTGACTCTCTGGGGCTCCAGACATTTTTTACAAATTCTGTGTTTTGACAGTTCCTTAGCAGGACTCTCCAGGAAGTTGAAAACCTTTGACACTCAAGTATACAAGATGTTGAGAGGCACAGATACTTGTGTACAAGATGATGAGAGGCATAGATAGAGTGGATAGCCAGAGACTTTTTCCCAGGGCGGAAATGACTGTTACGAGGGGGCATAATTTTAAGGTGATTGGAGGAAGGTATAGGGGAGATGTCAGAGGTAGGTTCCTTACACAGAGAGTGGTGGGTGTGTGGAATGCGCTGCCAGCAGTGGTAGTAGAGTCAGATACATTAGGGACATTTAAGCAACTCTTGGATAGGCACATGGAGGATAGTAAAATGTAGGGGATGCAGGGTAGTTTGATCTTAGGAGGATAATAGGTCAGCACAACATCGTGGGCTGAAGGGCCTGTCCTGTGCTGTACTGTTCTATGTTCTATGTTTTATATTCAGACTTTTGGAAAACTGACCATTTTTCATTTAGAGAATGATAATTTGCTCCTGACTTCAGCTCAACATTTAGATAGTGAAAAAAAACCTACTTTATTTTCAGACAAGTATACGTGCTGTGTCCAGAGAGCTTTCAGAGTGACACCGAGAGAAGACTCGTTTGACTTAAAACTATGATTTATGCTTGTGTACTTTACACAGGGAACGTAATTAAGGATTTTAAAGTATGATTATGCACTTCAGCAAAACTTTCAATCATATTCAGGCACTTTGGGGAAAATTCTGATGAGTAATCAACTGCTGTGTTAGCTGCAGCTCTGAAAATTGCTTTCTTAATAGGTATGCACATTGATTCAAGTCTGTTCGTGTATGTCTGTGGCTACATGTGCTTTTAAGAATGTTTTGCTCAAGTGCCTACGTGTTTGAAAATATCTGGCTATGTGTTTGAGTGTTCAGGACCGTAAGTCAATGCAATTTGACTGTAAGTCAAATGTTTTTCCTCTGTGACCCTGTTGTAAGGCTTGAAAATTGCTATGACCCCTCAGTGAGAACTGAGAGGGTGGGAGGACAATTGTCCAACTGTTCATAACTTAGTCAGAAGTCAGTGCTGCCTAATAACTTGTTGACTGCACTTTGAGAAGTCTAACTGCACGCGTGGAAAAGAATGCCAGCAGTTTGTGTGTATATCGGTGGCAGTAAGCATTTGTATGTGTGTCTGCGTGGGATCATTGTTAGGCAAATAAATGGAAAGTTAAACCAAACCAAGTGATTGAAGTAAAAACAGAAGTTGCTGGGAAAGCTCAGCAGCTCTGGCAGTGTCTGTGAGGAAAAAAATCAGAGTTAACGCTTCGGGTCCAGTTACCCTTCCTCAGAACAGTGATTGAAATGCCCTGGAGCTGCGGAGAGTCAACAAGATTTTGTTAACTTGCAGGGCCCTTTTTATTACACACGGAGAGTCTGGATGATGCCAACTTTAACTCAACAGGTCAGTGGGAGGTTGCAGTGAGTTTCTGACTGGGCCAGTCCAACAGCTTGGAGCCACGTTTTTAGTTCCACATCATTCTGGGCCCTGGATGGAATGGGATTGTTAGAAAACAGAAACGTTGGCACCCATCCTCTGAATCCCCAGTGTGCAGAGTCATAGGGTTACCTGGCAGT